GTGAGGAATCTTGGAGTTATCTTTGATCAGGACATGTCGTTTAAGTATAACATTAAGCAAATTTCAAGGACCGAAAAAGCGGAAAATCAGGAATATCCTGTCAAAAAATGATGCAGAAAAACTAGTCCATGCATTTGTTACTTCTAGGCTGGATTACTGCAATTCCTTATTATCAGGCTGCTCGAAAAGTCCATTAAGACTCTTCAGCTGATCCAGAATGCTGCAGCACGTGTTCTGACAGGAACCAGGAAAAGAGATCACGGCTGTGTCTCAATTCAGGGACCGCATCCTTCGAAGGCTGCATTTGAAGACCGGAAATCCGGCCGTGTGTCCTGCTGGCTAAAAAACCTGTCCAGCACAGGAACACTCCTGCAGTACAGGGGCCTGGGCTGGTTTAGGGATACAAGGAGAAGAACAACTGCTATGAAGTGTAGAGAGCTTAGTTAGAAAAGGCTTGTATATCTTTCTATTCAACTTGCTTTAGCTGATCAATGACAAAAACAGTGTCAATATTTTAATATTAAAGCAAGGTTAGGTTTTCTTTAAATATGAAATTATGTTGTTAAAGTGAAATGGCAGTAGCAATAAACTACGTTAACTGTGGTTAACATCAGTGTTAGCTTTTGGAAGCCTATAGTGCCTAAATACATATAAAATGTAACGTTTTTTTCTTTCCCCCACTATTTACCTGGCCAGGGTCCTCTCTTAGCCTGAGATACATCATGCGGTGGCGCTGGCGGTGAAGTACCTCTAGTTCCTAGTGCCATGCCCTTCGAAGGATGCGGTCCCTGAATTAAGACACAGCTTATATTTCTCCTGTCTTAGCTTCTCTGCATTGGCTTCCTGTAAAATCCAGAATAGAATTTAAAATCATTCTTCTTACCTACAAAACTCTTAATGGTCAGGCACCCTCTTATCTTAAAGAGCTCATAGTACCTTACTACCCAACCAGAGCACTGCGCTCCCAGAATTTAGGGTTACTTGTGGTTCCTAGTTAGGGCTGGCTCAGGTGACTCCTGAACCATCCTTTAGTTATGCTGCTATAGGCCTAGACTGCTGGGGGATTTCCCATGATGCACTGAGCTCCTCTCTCCTCTACTTTCTCTCCCTCTGTATGCAACCTCATCCCATTATTGCATGTTACTAACACAACTTCTCCCCTTTCCGGTAGTCTTGTGCTTTCTCGTCCTTCTCCACTCCCCTCCTATCACTTTCTGCAGGTGTTTCTGGCTCTGGAGCTGTGGAGTCTGGATCTGTGGTTGCGAGTCACCTGCTGCCCCCGTGTTCCTGCTCGACACCCTCTGCTACAATTATTGTTACTAGTCCTATTGTTATTATTGTTATTATAATCATTAACATTACGATTATTTTCATTAACACTACTATAAATATCTGTACCATTTTTCATTTAGTCTATAGCAACATTACCTTTACTGTCTGTACCTCTGTGTGTATATTGTGTAGGCTGCCTCCCTCCCCTCTCTCTCTCCTTCCATCCCTCTCTCGCTTTCTCTCTGTTCCTCTCTTGCCCTCTCTCTCTCTCTCTCTCTCTCTCCTTCACCCCCAACCGGTCAAGGCAGATGGCTGCCCACCCTGAGCCATGGTTCTACTCGAGGTTTCTGCCTCTTAAAAGGAAGATTTTCCTTGCCTCTGTCGCCTAGTGCTTGCTCTTGGTGGGAATTGTTGGGCTTCTTGTGATTTGGCGCTATATAAATAAAATTGAATTGAAAAGAATTGTTCATGAGGTTTCAGTGTTCAGTGATAACTTAAGATTCAGACATCCATTGACTAAAACCCTTCATTGGGTTAAAATATATAGTTGAAAAAAGAAAACTGGATGACACTGGATGACAAGTTAATTTAAGACTGACAGACAACCACAACGTTAATGTATTCAAAGGGGATATGACGGCATTGACAGGCGACCAAATGAAACTCACTGTTACCTCGAATAAAATGACAGATTCTCCAGATTTTCCTGTCTGCCTTTTCATCAAGTTTACTCCACCCTTCATTTTTAATATGCCCCCATTTTAGTCTGTACACTCATCTTCCTCTCTGCTGTAATCCCGTCTCTCCTCCTCAAAAACGCCCCTCCCTAACTCGTTTCTTTCCCCAAACCCCTGTCACATGTCTGAGAGCATGCAGGACAGATTTCACATCTGCCTGTCAGGCTCTTCCTCTTCGTTCTCCTTCTCTAACTTCTCCTCCTCTTATATTTTTCACCTGTGCTTAGAGTTTCTCTCCCCTGCCACCTAATGCGCTGATGTGTTGTGCTCACATATGGAGTGGGTGCAAAACAGTGATACGAGAAAACACAGAGAGGCGGTTTGTTTAATGGATGGATTGAGAGACGTTTTTCTCAATCTGTTTCCAACTCAGGTTTTCTCATGTATAATGGATGATGTGAGTCTCTTGCACCATTGTTTGCTGATTCTAATCAGAGTGCCTGGCCTGTTGAATAATAAAATAGGAGCGGAGTGAAAATGTTTAAGAGCTTCAGAGGGACACCTGCTGATTAGACTGTAGACTACATTTATCAGAACTCTCCTTCACAGGACTGGTTGCTTGTTATATCGCCACATGCAGACATGTGCAGACAAACATTTCATCTCTTTTTTCTTACCTTTCTTCTCATTTGCCTGAATATATTAAACAGACACTGACTCACACATGCACACACAAACCTTGAGGATTCTAACTTTAAGGTGACACCGACATTATTTCCTAATCTTGAGGCCCTGTCTTGTAGAGTCAGATCTGGTTTCAAAACCTTTATTTATTTCAGTTTATATTGTGATTGCATGGTGAATATTACTAAATGCATTTGTGTTTAATCAAATGCCTGCAAACGTAACAGTCACATAAAGCAAATGAAAAAGGACGTGATATTGAATTGCAACATAAGGACATTTTCTTACTTCTCTCTCAGGGTGTTTCCTTTAAACATGTTAAGGTGCTTTGTTTACATAATTTATCTCAAGGGGAATCCTGCTTTGGAGAAGAAAAGGAGGAGAGAGACAAGAGAGGGGGAGCGGGGTGAGGAAACAAGAATACCAGGCCGACTTTCAGTCAGTGTAAGAAAGAAGGAAAGATGGTGCATCAGAGAAATATTGTCTGTTTTCACTGCACTCCTGCTCTTTTTGTGTGTGTGAACATGTTTGTATGTGTGTGCCTGCTGTGTTGGACAGCCTTTAATAATTGAAGGAGCTGCCAGGCAGGAGGCGTACACCCACAGATTCCCCTGTATGCGGGAGATTCTTCTGCACCGATATGTATGTGAGTGTGTGTGTGTGTGTGTGTGTGTTTGTTAGCAGTCACCTCTGACTTTAGCTGCATTAGGAGACCATTTTCCTGAATCTACTGAAGGATGTGAACAGTTCATAGCCCTTGACAGTGTAACAGCAGCTGTAAACACATCTGGTTATTTTTCATGATCATATCAGTGTATTAAAGGTCAGTTGGCATACATACTTTTATTCTCATAAAAGTAAAATGAACAATGCAAATACAACAATGTTAAAAATCAAATTCAAAATAAAGAAGATGCATAAGATGCACATTTTGAAAATTTAATCCATTCATTACGAATAATTATAATTAAATTACGTAGTTATGAATATTTAACTTTTAATTCATTAGCAGAGCGAGAAATCACAATAAAAATCCATCCATCTGCTAGAGGTCGCTCACTCGCTGTATGTTAGGTAGCGGTGTAAGGCAGACTCTCTTTCACTCACTTGGAGCATGATTCTTTGCTATAGGAATGAATGAATAATGTATAAATAGCTAACAGTTTTAATGTTACTCACATTTTCCTTTCTTCTCATTCTTAATTACTATCATGAATAAGAATTCATACTATTCTAATAGTTATTGCTGTGTTACATTTCCTCTCAGCTAGTATCCAGATAGGCAATGAAATCTTCAGTTATCTGTCTTTTTTTTAACCCCATCTCTCTGCTAATTTTCCACTCCTGTCACACACTGACTATCGGAATATTAGGATGTCGGTGCCATTCAACTGCTAGACCTGGAGCTATATTATTAAAAACTGAAGCCCTCTATGACGTTGAGCGTTAGCAACAGTATATGTGGCTGAATGGATTGTCTGTAGCATATTTCTTTTTTCTATTTCTGAGTAAAAGAAAGACCAAGAGAAGAAAGGAGCTCAGCACCAGATGCAGTACTGTGTTTTGGAGCTCACAGCATCTGTTTTCAGCACATCAGTCAATCTTCATTAGTTGTTGCTTTAGTTGCTATTTCTCCTGACACAAAGATACAGTATAGACATCCACACATACATTCTGTGTGTTTTTGAAACGAGAAAACAAACACTTATGGTCTGCCAGTTGCATTTACATCCACCAACACAAACTGAGGTCATACTGAGAAATTAAGTCAAACAATCCTTCACTCCATCTCCTCCGGCTGTCTCATACTCTGTCTCTCTTTCAGTCTGAGGCTGCCTGAAGTGTGGAGATAAAACAGCTGCATCTTAATCTGTGGGTGGCACAAGCCTACAAAGAAGGCAATTAGGTTTATAATTTACAATTCCCTTGCCCTTCTCTCTTCTCTACCCTTCCATTTCCTCTCCTTTCTCACTCAGCCCTCCTTTCCATCCATGAATTAAAGTCTTTATGTGTGTCATGTGTGTGTGTCCCCACAGAGCAGCACGAGCATTTGGAGAGTACCTGTCCCACACACACCTGAAAACCGAAACGGATCAGGTCAGCGTCTCTGCCATCCTGCCATTTTACCATCCCTCCACCCTGCTCTGCGTATCCCTTTGTGGTCTTTAATCCCTCCTACACCTGCTTCACCTCATCCTCTGTTGAAATGCCACGCTGCCTATCACTTCAACAGCTGATAACTGAAGAAAGACAATGACATTATCGTCTCTGTCATCCTCTTTTTCCTCCTTCTCTCTTCCCCTTGCTCTTTAGCACCGTGGTGTACTTTTTGTTCTTTTAACATTCATATTTGTCTTTTTCGTCATCATGCTAGCCCATCTTCTGTGTGAAACCTTGGTGGGTCCCGACCCGGAATCGTCGAGTGACACGATTGGCCCAAACAACAACAACCATCCCTGCTCCAACGTCACCAAGAGCTGCAAGGACAACCGAGAGCCCGGCTTGGTGAAACCCCCGCTGAGAGCAGTCCAGCCACCTCCCCCTTCCATCACCATCTATACCAAGCCAACGCGGCTTTCCCTTGAGCGTAGCTTCTCAGCGGAGGAAGACCAGCAGAAGTGTGTAGAGTGCACCCTGCAGCCTGCCCGCGTGTACACCATCACAACCCAGCGCGGTATGCTGATGAGCAGCGGCCGGGGCAGCAAGGAGAGCCTAGAACTGGACGTCCTGAAGGAGAAGTCGGGGAGTGGCGGGGTGGGATCCAGAGGTGGCTTGATCCAGCCCTCAACTTCCCCTTCCTCCGCCTCATCGTCTCCAACCCAGTACCACCATGCCAGTAGCGGCCGTGGTGTCAGCCATCACCACCGTGGTAACCATCCCCACGGGAACCATCACCACCACACCATCGCGGGCACCAACGCGCCCTCCAGCAGTGGAGGAAGTGGCGGGGCAAGTGGAAGTAGCAGTAGCAACCAGCAACAGTCTCTGAACGTCGCTGGATCCCACTCCCATGTATCACACCACCACAGCCACCACCATCACCTGTCTCAGCCCCCGCTGCAGACCTCCGTCAGCGCCCACAACATCCGCAGCTGGGGCGAGGGTGGAAAAGGGGAGGCAGAGTGCAGCGGGCTGGCATGTGACTCATGCAGCGGAGCCCCCTCCCGGAGCCAGGGCTCCCTGGACCTGGAAAGCGCATCCCGAGAGGCAGGCAAGCAGCACCGACGCCTAGAGCGGATGTGGAGTGTGGACCGGATGACTGGGCTGGAGAGAGGTGAGAGGGCGGAGGACACAGAGGAACAGAGAGGCGCTGAGTTCCAAACAAGGGCAGGAGGGGGGGCAGGGTTTGTTCACCAGACCCTGTGGCTGGGATTGGAGGGTTTTAGTAGTGGACCAGAGATGAAATAGCATTTGAATCATTTCAGTCACTTGCAAGGAAAATACACACACAACATGAGAGCAATGAGATCCAGCTGATGTTGTTTTTTAAATTGGAAATATAATCAGCGTGTGATCCAAATTGCTAAAACAGGAACACTTCATAACATACCTGAAGCAAATAAAGTATAATTTTTGTTGAGATTATACATTTAAATTTTGAGTCTGGTGTGCAAATATATGTAATTTGGCAAGAATAATTATGATAACAAGATACCAGAACATAGAAAAAGTCATTAACACATTAGCGAAAAGAAACTCACCAACGCCGAGTGAAAGACTGACTCACATACCTCACTTCAAAAATGACCTTAGAGTTCAAACAACACCCCACTTACGCACTCTTAACAGAAATTGAGGGGTAATTGTATTGGATTGCATTATATTAGGAGGTGTTGTTGTTATTTTAACTTTGCCTGACTAAATTTTTTTGTTTTGTTTGTGACAGTTTAATTATATTGTGTTTACAAATAATAATTCTAGGCTTTGTGGAAATTTTAGGACCACTTCAGTGAAAAACAAGTTACAAATCACACTTAACCCTTTATTGAGCATTTAGTAAGGAACAACTAAGAAACTACAGTTAATTATTCAAGTTATTTTACTGTGAAAAATCATAATGAAATACACACAGAACTTAGACCTCAGTTTGGATTAATGAAAGTGCAACATCTGGAAAAAGTGAGCTAGTACACATTTAATTGTTTCAACACACTTTTTTCAAATCTATTTCTTCTCAGGTGGGGATTTCAGGGTTTGATGTTGGATGTGACGTGGTGGTCTGTATTTCTGACTCTTCGTCTCCCCGTCTCTCTCCTCTGCTGTCTCCTTCTGTGTGTCTCCCTCTCTCCATTTGTGGAGTAGTGGACTGTGAAGTGCTAGTGCTGTTGCTGGTTTTGTGCTTTCGTATTTCTAATATATTCATTACAACATTCGCCAATATGGCACATGTTTTTTGTCACCTTATCCTCGAATCATAATTTCTTTTCTCTAATTGCAGAGGACACTAACTGGTTCCCCAAGGAAAATATGTTCAGCTTTCAAACTGCCACAACAACCATGCAGGCGTGAGTCCAACCTTCAAGCTCACATAAATCTTACATGTACACAAATGCACATACATAAACACGTAGTCACGTTTATTGTGTATCCTCTGTCTGAATGGTCAGGCTTGTTTTAAGCTATTAACTACAAACTAAGATAAACCTTAATAAGATAAACCTGCTGAGCCCCAGCATGCTATAGATTTTTTGATTGATTTCCTACCTTCCAGGCTGCGATGGATTTTTATTTCAGTAAGCTATAAAAATCAACTTACAGACCATTAAAGGCCGCTCAAGGAGATCAATCTTTCATAGTGAATATTTTGTCAATCCTTTTTATTTTTTGGCTTAAAGTTAAATAATTGATGCATGGTAAAGCAGTGGAAAGCAGGACATGTTTTGAAAGATCTCCTTGTTGGTACTTTTCAAGGACCATTTGACATCTGAGATTTAACTGCTGATTGTTAGGGTTAGGGGTAGGAATAGGGTTATCAGGCTGATTCTCATTATCATTTCCACATCCTCTATGTTTGACTGTTGATCTTTTAGATTTAATTTTCAACACTAGCAACACTGTTTGTCAATAAAATAAAGGTGATTAAAATGAAGATGATGAGTCGTTGACTTGCAAGTTTCAAGGATTTGCAAGTTGTTGTTTTTTTTTATAGCATTCTGAAATAAACCAATGATTCCCTTAAATCTAATAAATGGATCTATCAAGACTAAGAGTCCACAGCCATACTAGCAGCTGTGTAAGGCTGCACAGCAGGGCTTTGAACTCAATGCTCACATCAACATGCTAACATGGTCACAAGAAAAATGCTAACATGAGGCCGTTTAGCAGGCAGAATGTTTACAATGTTCACCATCTCAGTTTAGTGCGTTCACATGCTACCATTTACTAATTACAGTAGCACTAAACATAAAGTAAAGCTGAGGCTGGTGGTGGGAATGTCATTAGTTTTGTAGTGTTGGATGAACAGACATTTTGAACTGATTATAATTCATCCTATATGTACCATGAACGTGTGTACAAAAGTTTGTGGCAATCCGTCCATTAGCTGTTGACATATTTCAGTCTGGACCAACGTGGTAGACCAACCAACCTACAAATTGGCATTGCCATCCCCAGAGGCATGCTGCTAGCACGGCTAAAAATGTGTACATTAATGTAAGGTATATGCAGTTTGTAGTTAATGAGCTAAAACATGCAAATCCAACAGTGTGTTCTTCTAAATTAAGAACATTAAAATAATGTGACTCCTTAAAGGTGTGAGTATAATAGCGACCTGAGATTGTCTTCAGATCGCCTGCAGCTCTAAAAGATATCTGAGCTGTCACAATCACTTCACATCACAACGTAGAATCTCCAGCAGCGTCCAGTCTGCTTCTGCCTGACTATCACTGACTTTTTTTTTTAGCTCTTTTTAAATGTATCTTTTTGCACTTTAATCTTGTACTAGATGTTAAACCATGTTCAGAGCATAAAAGCAAACTCAGTCAGTATATAAAAGTGATTGTTCATTTGACCCATTAAATAAGAACACACCAGTAGCAATTATGTTGCATCGCAAGTTGACACACTCTTTTTGTCTCTGTCTCATTATGCCTCTCCCAGTTCTTCCCCTTTCCGTTTTTTCAACTAACTTTGTTTTTTCCTCTCTCTCTCTCTCTCTCCTTTGTTCTTGTATGCTAATGAAACATTGGACACTCAAACAGGATATCGTGAGTATACTTCTCTGCCTGGTTCAATTTTTTTCTTAGCTCACTTACCTCTTGTTCTTAACTGCTATTCCTTAACTTTGATGTCTACCATTTAACCTTCATCCTTGGGCTGAGTGAGGTCTGTGTGGATGTGTATGTGTGTGGGTGGCTAGGTCTGAGTAATTCTTTGTATCAAGGTGAAACCTTTTATTGTTTGGGTTATTCTGGCCTTAAGCACTAAGACAGCACACATACTGTAAAGGTAGAAGCCTAGTCAGCACAAATAATGTCTTTCAATTCCAGTAAAAAAAAAGCCAAAGGGGGGAAAATTGAGTTACAGGATTTTCATGAACAACAGGGATAAAGTCCAGTGTAATCCACTGCAGATGAGTAAGTCTGCCAAGCTCAAGTCAGGAAAATGTCCATCTGTGTGTTGGCTGACCTAAACCCTATCGGCTCACATCCACCCAGCAGTTCTGTCAGTTTTGTACACACACCTGCCCTTCACTTAGGACACAGCTATGGATAGTGTTTGGCCATTTAAGATTTTTGTGGCAGTCATGTTAGTGCTCTAATCCTGCTCCACAGTCGTTGCCAGTTATCACTGAATCTGTGCTGGCTGACTTTAGACGTGTTGGAACTGACTGTGGAAATTGGCTCTGGAGAGACTGTTATGAACAAGTATTTATAGTGCTAACATGTGATCCCTAGTGCCTTCTGGTTAAAAAGTTTTATCTGATAGAAAGAAGTCCGTTTTCAGCTATCTAATCTAGCTATCTAATAAGTCACATAAAACCTTGGTAGATAGATCAGCATGAAATTTCTTGCGTGTAAATCACAAACTTCTCTCAAATGGTTCCTGAGTGTTTAGACTAGCTGAAGTAGGTTAAGCAATCAGATACATCTTAACATAATAGTATAATGCCTAAACCAAGCCAAGCCTTGACATTCATACTGCATAACCCCTGCTCCAGCCACACCTTGCCTAACTAAACCCAAAACTAACTCAAGCTGCTCATAAATTTTGTTCTTTGTATGTTGACCAAGCTAACCTCTGGCTGCTAGCTGAAAGTAGCTTGGGTTTCTGCAAATTCTTACAATAATAAGCCTACAGGATAAAGCTGGTGATTTATTTTTCTTATTGTCAACAAATACTGTGAAAAGACAAAAAAACTGATGACTTATAAAATATTGTTTGTGTAGCCAACCCC